CCAACGCAAATGTTCTCTTTCCAGAGAGACAAAACTGAGTTACAGCTGAAGGTGAATGCAGCCTGTATAGGGAGCTACGGCCTAGATTCTTTTTCTATATGCATACAAATTTAAATGATGAAGCGGTCTCTGGCCAAGGCAAAGGGTTCTAATGTTGATGCTAACATTTAAATTTTTTTGTGCATGTTTGTGTATTAGTGCCAACCTGGGCTGGACCATGGCCAATCCATTAAAACAGTTTTTGACACAACACTTGCGGTAATATTATATCAAAAATAAACTGAATGCCAGATTAGGATCAAACTCTCAATTAGCCACAGAGAAATCAAACAGATAACAAATTATTCCCTCTGTGAGGTGGTTGCAATGTTTTAAAAACTGATTAACCTTTCTTCTGTGAAACCTCTTTGTATGTATGATTTGAGACTGATACAGAAGACATGGACATACAAACTAAGGCTCAGCTAAGCTCTATGGTCTAATCCAGCAGATATTAAGACCTCTAAAATGACATGAGATTATTAGAGTTGAGTCCTTAAGGATCTTACCTCTAGCCTTTGCACCATCTCCCTGATGTCTTCTCCGCAGTTGTCGTGGGCAGACAACATGATACACTCTCCGCGCTCATAGAAGATCTTAATGCTCATGATCCCTGAGGTCCAGCCAATGACGTCACGACACGAGCAGTTGAAGACCACATTTTTTGATTCCTCCTCGATGAGCACAATAAACTCGTTGGAAATGCCAAGCAAGCAGTCCACGTCCATCGACTGGCCAAAGTCCCTAGCACAGACGCTCCAGGTGATGGCCCCCACGCTGAACAGATGTGCATCCTTCCTGGGTTTCACCTTCTCCTTCTTCTTGGCTCCAAGGGTGATGAAGCTGAATTTGACAGCATTGTCAATAGTAGCTGTGCTAACAAAGTTCTCAGCCAGGTCCTTCAGGTATTCCTGCCGAGTACGTGTCGCCATGGCTCGGAACTTCTCTGATTTGTGTGCGGCATTTTCTCCATTGATGACCTTGGCGAGAAGGAAGTCCCTGAAAACTGCAGACTTTGGGAAAGTTACAGACTTGGGAATAGGGGGGCCGAACGGAGGCACGTCTTTAGATCTGGACACGGCCACGCTGGAAAACAGGATGGAAATCAATGAATCAAATGTAGTGCTGACAATTAGGAGAGACTAAAAGAAGTGAAGGAGTATTGAACTCTATATATAATGAGCAACTATTTGAAGAGTGCTAAAATTATATGGCTTTCAGGGAAATTATTTTCGGTGGGAAGACTGAGAGGAGCTCAGACTTATCTTGCTCTGTTCAACAAATGCTATGTTATTAACAAGAGTCATCTTTACTTCAGAAACACTCAAGGAGAGAGTCGTAAGTCATAATTTCAAGGTGTCTCTGAAGATAATAACTGTATCATCACTGAACAGATCAAAAGAGCCTTGTGATTCCCGCACATTACTATGAAGTCATGACAGAAACCACAGAAAGCACTCAGCAGGCTATTATTATTATTCTTTCAAATTAAGTGCTCTTAAAAGTTCATGTAGAGCCATTTGGCTTGAAGACATTTATGCAAAGCACATCAAAAGATAAACACATTCCCCTAAATTGTCTTGAGGATATTAGTTTGCTTCTTATCCCATGGTAAGGAGTGAAATAGCTTTGAGAAGGCCTTGCAGGCGCAGTGCATGCTTGTTCTATTTACCTGTAGCAGACGTTATCAGTGCAAGGGTTGTGGACTTTGACGATGACAAACACATGTTGGAAATGGGAGCGGATGTTTTTTGGAGTGAAAGGAAGGGCCCCAGGCTCCTGGAATACTATGGTGACGATATCATTGCCAATGTGCCTCTTCCTTAATAGCTATTAAAAAAAAGGGAGAAATGGAGTCACATACAAGCAGAAAATGCATCACATAATGGGTAAATATAGAATAAGAGGACCCATTTAGGCTCAGGTTAATTATCTCTGGTTAGAAAGCATGTGTGGACAAGGAAATCCCTATAACATTTCAATGTGTGACAAATTGCATGTAATGTCTGTAGCAGCACCATAAGCAGAACAGCAAACTATTTACAGAGCTTTAAACACAGTTTGCAGAATTAGTTACTGATAAGATTTCATGTTTTGATTCTGAAATCAAGATAAAGAGCTTTTTGTATTCCGCTAACACAATTTAGGATTTTTTGGGTGATGCAGACATATCCCCTAAAACCCATTTTATACTGCTTGTATTGTTGTGTGTGGATAGTTAACCTCATTCTCTGGCTGTTGTCAGTGAGGGTCAGCAAGACCTCGAAACAAGCAGGATTAGAGGGTGCAGAGGTGAATTGGAAAGGATGAAGAGATGAGTGGGGCAAGCTCTGCTTGGGCCCGCTGGAAGATTACCAGCGGGGATTAAATTGAAGTATCCCACTCCATGAAATCCAATTGGAGGAGGAGAAAAGAAAAAAGAAAGAACCCCTGCCAAAATCCTGCCAATCAGGTCTCTGCAGTGTTTCACTGTAGATGCTGTCCCTCACTCACTTACCACCTCCTTCAGTCCCTTCACTGTTAATATATCTACAGGGTTGTATCCACAGGTTTTATTATGGGCTGAAAAAGTACTTCCAGAGTGCAGAGAGTAAATTGGTGAACTTCTGTAATCGCAGCTTTATTGGGCCATCGCTCTCCAGTCCACCGCTACATCCACTTAATTCCACTTGTTAGCGCAGACAGACACAGAGGCCCATCTAAAACCACGTCAGGTCCAGCCCCTGGGGATGCATTGATTAAAATCCTACTATGGGGTACCGTTGCCATGGCAATGCTCATGCTTTCAACTGATAGGTCATTACCGTGGCAAAACGAGCCTCTGGGGAAGATGGGAAGGAGGGGGGGATTGAAGATATCCTAAAAGGAAGCTGCTCGGGGACTACCATTAGCACCATTAGACACCGGCTCACCCACACAGTAAAGCAAACGTGATGGTCCACTGGAGGGGACAGAGTGAGAGGTTTACTGACCTGCTGTCTGTTGTTGGGTGTGTAGGGGAGCATGGTGGACACGTGAAACATCAGCTCATAGTCCTTATAGGTGGTGTAGAGAGAATGTGTGCCTGTGGAGTCCGCTGTAACACAAGACAGCGCAGTCAGGGTCTCCGGCCTCATTAAAAAAAGGCCATTGTGATAAATAAACTGATGATGTAATTGAACAGATTAAAGATATATAAACTTAAACATAACAAAAAATAGCTAAATAAAACAGAGCAAAGCATCTGCACTGAGCAGGACTAGTGTGTGGGCTAGCACTTTGTGAATGTTTAGTTTGATGTGTGTGTATTGTGTTTTATCTTACTCTTGTTATCCAGCTGAGCTCTGTACTTGGTGAAGCCTTTGAGGCGCACCCTCTGGCCAAGCAGATCCAAGAACTCCTCCAGTGCCGGCCCACCACTCTCGTTGTTGTACATCTCTTCTTCTGTACTCTGGCCCGCCTTACAGTAAAGCACTCCAACCTTGTGCTGGAAGCTTAACTGGAATGAAGAACATACACAGACACTCAGAGAGTAAGTATCATTTCCTGTCCCTGATATGTATCACACACCCCCTGCTGCATACTGTACATTATGCACTCAAAGCATGCAAGTGCCCACTTTCCATCGTGTCACAGCTAATGTGAAGGCCTTCATAACCCTTCTAGGAGAGAGCTGAAATCCCCTTTTGTGAAGCCAGGCTGTGAACTCTCAGGAGCTCTGAGCAGAGCATAAATCAAGGCAAGCTAATAGCTGCTACTTAAGAGCAGCTGTGGAGCAACGAGGGAGTGAATTACAGACATATTGCAGGATAGCTGTAGTTTATGGCAGAAAACACTATAAGCTGCCAGCAACAGCATTTTAATCTTTTCTGAAAAACACTTTCTTAAGCGATGCTTTTGTTTGGTTAAGTCCTCACCGTAGCGCTAGCAGGCACTGAATGGCAACAGCATTGATCTCCACACCCCACTAATAATATTCTTAATTCAGTCAATGCTCAACAAAGAGCCCCTCAATAAAGATAAATGTCTTATTCGCAAAAAGGGAGTACTCATAGACACAGACAAGGCAGCCAAATCTCACAGGTTTTCACTGCAAGCATTGATATTATTCAGATATGGCAGGTCTGATATGAACTTGTCTCAGGAAGAGACAGGAAGAAATAAAACATCAAGAATGATTCTTCTTGCAAGGTGAGAGAGAGAGCCATCTCCAACATCATGAATCTTTCATGGCTTACAGCTCCCTGGTGCTGGCCAAGAAAGAGAGTCAAGGGGGGGGGGATGAAGGAGAAAAGTAGCCTCCTGCTTTTGGCACCTGTTGCCCAATATTCACAGCTGAGGACAGCGTGATCTTGACCCAGGGTAAATGTGTCAATACTGCAAGACGAAAGGGTTTCTCAGAATGTGAGAGCCGTGAATTGATCTATACAGTGAAACAAATTGGAACTGTCTTTTTCCTCCGTTACAGGTTATCCGTTCCTGGTGTGCTCATGACACTGTTGCTATGATGACTTCCTCTATCAGGCAGTCTGCTCTGCACTAAAGCTCCTGCGGTGACGGAAAGCTATTATACCATCAAGCCCAGTGGAAATGGCATGATGTGCAATGATGTGGTCTTCTATTTTTTATCCCACATTATAGGGGCTCACTTAACCTCCTGCTCCTCTTAACAGACTGGCGGATGGCAAGGACAATCACATTTGGTGGCCCCTTTGGTGCAAATTTAGCGCTGCCTGAAAAGTGCAAACACATCAGGACACATAACACGTATACAGATGAGTAATGCTCCTGATGTGAAGCTCATTGTGTAACCACCTTTGATGTGCTTTTTGGTGGCATCAGCTTCTGCCATAAAAAAGGCTATATCCCATTTAACGGATCTGTGATTAGCTACAATATTCCACTTGCTAAGTTGCTGGAAAGCAGTAATTTTGACTCTCTTTAAATATATAAATGTCTGTCTGGTGCTGGAGGGTGCTAAGAACCGTTCTCCCATTCTCTTCAACAAAAAAACCCTAAGAAAAATGCAACGATGGAAAGATACTTAATGAGCAGAGAGAGAAATGAGGACAATGTTCCCCTTGGAGAGCTCTGAGAGGCACCTGAGGGATACAGCAGTGTCCTAACACAACACTGTGACATCTGTCTGCACTGCAGTGTCCCGTTGCAGCAAAACTCCAAAATAAGGCTGCCAAAACCTGGCTACAATCATCATGCACCATTACACAAACATCTATTGCTGTTTTGGGGCAGAAGTGTTCCAGTTCCACAGCAACAGTGCCTAAAAAGTGGAACATGGGATGTAGATGTGGGAGAAACAAATCTGGTCACTATAGAATTTCACCAAATTAATCCTACAGAAAGTTAATTAAATCAGCAAGTTTCCATATCATGGAAGAGGATTGATATACATAAGGGAAAGGTGACTTTTTATTTTTTTTGGCACTGCAGTAACAGCCTCAGTAGGTGGTAGATTACTCTCTTGAACTTGTGGAACAAATCTCACTTAAGCCTGAATTATACTTCAGAGTTGAGCTGTCGCTGTGGGCATCAGGGGTGATTTATGGTCCTACAAAGGCTTTACCTGTTGACTATTGTAAGACCGCAGCAAAACTTGATTGGCAATGTTGGCAATTAGGCATTGTCGTGCTTTTATTTTTTGTTCATGATACAGAGCACTGAAGTAAAAATGGTTTTCTAGGTAGGAAGACGGTAATTTGTTCAGCATTAGAGGGAAAGATTAGTAGCCTTTCTCTGATCTCTTCGATGTTGTCTCTACTATCAGCAAACACTATTATGTGTAGTTACATTTTCCATGCAGCCAAGCAGACACCTGCAGGCTAGCCCTTATCTTGTTCAGATCCATGCTTTTATTATCGCAAATTATAAATTATAGCTTGAAATTACATTTTTAATTCAGAAACCAATAGAGCTGATAAGTGTTTCTATTAAACAATAATTCAGTCATTTTACAGATTTTTGTCTTAAGATGGAAACAACAGATACACATTTTACAGCAATGGTGCTCTTAGAAAACTTGCGATTTCTATCACCTAAAATCACATCACAACTGCCTAATGCCTTTCCCAGCCCATCTGCACACAGTCAGTTCACTGTGATCTACAGTGTGATCTAAAATACATTCACATATGCTCTGTTCTCTTCTTACATCCAGGGCCATTACAGCGCAGTCTACAACACTGCTTTCAGGGATATTCTTTCTGCAGAACTGATCATGAGAATATTATGAAGGCTGTCTTGCTCCAGGATACTCTCACTCACCAGGCATGCTTTCTGTTCACAGAAAAAAAAAGAAAGAAGCCTTTTCACACGCGCACACACACACACACACACACTCTCCGGCACAAAAACAGGGGACATCTCCTCAGCAGCGGGCATTCACACAAATAAATTCCTCAAATAAAGCTTTCTATATGCGGTGGAAGAAAATTATGCACTCAAACAAACAAAAACAGGCCTGGCAGACCACTCTATTTCTGTGTTGCAGCTCCTTCTGTCCAATATTAGCTTCCTCGCATAAACACATTAGAGGGGCGGTGAAAGTCCAGCTTGGTTAAAAAGAAGATTACGGGCTGCTTGACTATTAAACATTTGCACTGCAAGCATAACATTAATGATCCAAACAGAGTGTACAAAAATAATGATGTCCAAATATAAAAAACTGGCCTCCACTGGGCGTTTGGTTTGAGGTCTATGAGGAGGAGTGCCAGTTGGAAGAGCTTTAAGCCCCACTTAGCCTGGGCTCTCCTCCTCTGAAAGTAGTTTCTTAGATTACTTTTTTTTCCCTCCTGTGTGTCAGTTTCGGTCTTATATCAAAGTCTGTATCTGCAGACAGTCTCTCATACCGAAGGCATGGGGAGTTGTATGGCAGGTGGACAAACTCATATCAGCTCCTTGAGATCGGGCAGGAAACAAATTCTAGAGCACTTACTTATAAAGTTAGTTTGCGATAATTGGATACACAAAGTCCGTCATCATCTTAAGCTCATTTAACTTGCTTTAGAGAGGACACTACACTGCTCTTGTTTATGTGTGTAGCACAATCTTAATATACAAGAGGGACATGGCTGACACTTTCTATTATAAGAGCCTTTCCCCTGTCAGTTGGAAGGATGGGCCCATGCTAATGAATGTAATTACACTAATAAGCAGCCAATTCTGGGATAGTAAGATAAGCAATACAGCACTAACTAATCCCCCATTCTCCTTTCCATCTTGCAGTTTTGTTAGATGAGAAAATAAAGGCCTTAAGATCACACAATGAATCCATCTCTGACACCTGTGAATACAGAGAGCCCATATTCAAACCGAGATAATGCAAGATGACATCCTCCGCCATCCAGGCAGAATATCAAATCACCTGCTCTCAGCTAAGTAAGTTGTCAAAAGTTAGGTTATTGTAGCTTGTGTCTGAGTGTCCTATCGCAGAAAATGTGTGTCAAAGCAGTCGATGCCGGCTACAGAGAGTGCAGGATTCATATTGATTCTATTTAAGTGTGATATTGGCTGCCTTATGCTTCCACCCGGGAGCCTGTGTTCATTTATAATAAGCAACCTATATATGGGACATGGGTTACTGCTATTTGAAGTTAATCCCTCCCCTGTTTCCTTCTATATCTGACACAAATGTCAGAACAGAGACAGATATATCTTAAATACAAAATCAATATCACAATATTAAAACATCATTCAGAATATTGATATGTGGAAATGATGGTGTTGAAATGGAACAATGGGAACATCTGTGTGGAGGAGAGTGAATGGGCTATGGCT